CCTTTGACCCCAAGCCCGGCTATGGCTGGGATCTGGCGCTGCCTCCAAGCAGCGCCCACCACCTCCACCTGCGCTCGCATGCGGCTCAGGCTCTTGTCAACAGCGGCCACGAGCACTGTAACTGGCAGCACTGCCGCAATGCTTCCAAGTGCCCGAATGAATGAGAGGCAGGCGGGCACTTTCATCTATGGAAAGTGCTTGCCTGTACAGGCAGCCTAGGCCTGGCAACCGTGTGCCCAGTAGCTTCACATTGGGCCAAAGTGCCTATGCCCAGGCCCAATTCAGATAGCGGCCTGAGACCGAAACAGTTAGGCGCGCCCAACTGTACAACGTGGCCTGTGTCACTCCCTGCGTCCTGATAGGCAGGAAGGCCTTTTTTCCGGGGGGAAACTATGTGGGAGTCACAAAAATGAGTTATAATTGCGCTATTGGCCAAGATACAGTTTCGAATTGCAGTTTGGGCAATGTATACAACCCAGCTTTCTGGCCAGGTAGGGTGCCCCAAGTGCAATTGCAAACAGTATCTTGCCCCATAGTGCAATTGGCGGAAGAACACCTACTAGCAGGAGTTGGTAAGAGCATCCTCCACTAGCAGGCCTCGCAGGGTTGATGACTCCAGTCTATTGGTGGGGAGCTGCAGCCGCTGGAAACGGGGTCCAGCGTCCCTTTGATGATATGTACCAGGAGCAAGGTTTTCAGCAATCCATCCAATGGGCATACAGTAGGAGGCCTCTTGCAGAAATGCAGGCCCGCCTTCACTTAGGGCGGGCATGTTGCTTGTAGCAGGGCCACTTAAACCGCCAGTACGCGGCCCCAGCCTTGGAGAAAGTTTTTGTCGCCACAAGCAAAACTCGGAGGGCCAAATCTGCGGCCTCTGAAGTGGTGCAGGTTCCACGCTGTCATCCTCGGGCCTATGTATGGTGTACTGGTGCTTTTTTTTTTTTTTAACAGCAAAACTTAGTATATGGGAAACCTACTTAGCGAGGTGATAAGAGCATCCCCGGTAAGTAGGCCCCAGTTTCGAAGGCTCCATCTATTGGTGGGGAGCTACACCTGCTGGAAATCGGGTCCAGCGTCCCTATACAAATGATGAAAATATATCTGCCGGAAATCAGGTCCAGCGTCCCTGTGCCATAGTGTGAATGTATGTGCCGGAAAACAAGTCCAGCGTCCCTCCTCTTTTTTTTTTTTTTTTTTTTTTTTTTTGAAAACGGGCCCAGTGCCCAAGGCTGATATTATCAACAAGAAGCTTGAGGCCGGGGTCCTCAAAGTCTACCCGGAGTGACCGAACCGATCATGCTGAGAACCGGGCTCAGCGTCCCTTGTATGATGATGATGATGATGATATGATGATGATGATATGATGATGATGATGATGATGATGATGATAATGACGATGATGATGATGATGATGATGATGATTAGTAAGAAAACATATAGAAGACTATGCTATATCGGCAATCCTGGCCTCCTTTTAAGATCACTGAACACCTCCTGAAATCCACCGCAGTTTTTCCAAACACTCGACCATCTAAGGGATTTCCAACAGATCATAACAATACTCACTAAAACCGACTTATTCTCTGACAAACTCATCTAGGCCTCACGCCCCCTTTCTGCTAGGTTACAGAGCGAAGCGACTTACTCCAGCTCCGGCCAGTGTCGTCCTGTGTCAGCAACCCCCAACTGTCCTTTAGGATGCCCCCCCATAGCATCCCCAGATCTCTCTACAAGGCCTCATGCCCTCGCCTTCGACAAGTTACAAGGCATCACCCCGGCTCCGACCAGCGTCGTTCTAGCGTTGAACAGCTACGGATCCTGAATATAACAGTCTGATTCCAGTGTAGATTCGTACAAACCGCTAGCAAACCCTCAGAGTCCTGAGAGATTCTTCAAACTACCAGGAATAACAAGGGTGCTTGTTTTGAAGACTCAGAAAAATCACGAAGTATAGAGATACCAGCGTCCCTATCTATGTGATGTATAGAATCTCGCAAACAACATGAGACATCAATCCTATCGGGTGAAACCCTAATCATGATGTAATGTGTAATACAGCAATGTGACCAGCGTCGTTATACAAATGATGAAGCTATATCTATACAAATGATGAAGCTATATCTGATGGAAATCAGGTCCAGCGTCCTTGTGCCATGGTGTGACTGTTTGTGCTGAGGAACGAGTCTAGCGTCCCTATCGATCTGATCTATAGAACCTCGCAAACAAAATAAGACATCAATCCTATCAGGCGAAACCCTAATCATGATGTAATGTGTATTACAGCAATATGACTTATATCTGCTGGAACTCGGATCCAGCATCCCTATACTATGTTGTGTCAGATGTATTAACTATCACTCAGGCGTAAACTGCCCACCACCAGTCCTGCGAGGCGATCCCTACCCCAGTGTTGATTGGTATTGCGGGCCGGGCAACCCAGTCATCACTGCCTAACCTACTCTTACCCTCCGGCAGACAACGAGAAACGCCTCCATATCGAGGCCAAAAATATAACAAGGAGGAAGTCAGAACACCCATTTCCCGGTCTTAAAAGAAAGGGATGGATGGCTGGCATACAAACCAACCAACCCGATCTCACACCTTGGTTTTGATCCGGCAAACTGGACCTGGACACTAACCATAGGTAAAGGAAAACAAGGGCAGCGACAGCTACACACACTGTCAGTCAAATCAGCTTATAGACTATTGCGCCCCAAAAGAACCTTAAAAGACATAGTAGAGGACATGTGGATGAGACACCTAAATGTGGGAAAAGAGGCCCTTCACTCAATAAGATGGTTTAGACTAAGTAGGGCCTCCCCGGCGAAAGTGGCGTCACTGCAATGGCAAATTGATCACCGCTGCCTACCCACAAACGACTGGTTGATCGATAGAACAACCTTGGAACAACGAGGGCTAGCTTTGCCGTGGTGCAAACTTTGCTCATCGACCTTTCCACCAAGATGCCGACCAGAAACAATCGAGCATATCTTCCTGCAGTGCCCGGGGTCAATATGGCTATGGAGATGGTGGGACAGGGTTTGGAGACAGATGGGCACCACAATTACTTGGCCATGGGATTGGAAGGCAATACTGTGCGAAACATGGCACCCGGAACAGGCCACATCCTTCGAAGAGAACATGTTTAAAATTGGGAGGCGGGCGATGCTCTGGGCGCTAAGGAGGAGACGTTGTGTTTATGAAATGGAGGCAGTAAGACTGGATGGCCAAATCTTACAGGAAGAAATTAGACTGTATGTGGAAACTGAAATTACTATTCAATGGAAAAAGCAAAAGAAAAATTAGTAACCCTACATACTATAACGGAAATCAAGAAGCACATCCAACAATTTAGCAAGGATTGGCTGGGGGGGACCCAGGGGAAGCCCATTGCAAATATTCGATGGGAAGGGGAAGGGGAAGGAGAGAGAGGGGGGGAGATTGTGGGACAAAATGGCAGGAACTATCAGCTTCGTTTTCAAGAATGGACAGATATCCAACAGGACACCCTGCTTCGGACTTCCCCGACCCCTTCCCACCACCAGCTCTAGCTATGGTGGGGGAGCAGTGGTACGGAGGTGGGGATTCCTAGCAGAAGGAGGCAGAAGGCACAAGGATCGGGCAAGGGAGAAACGGTACCTGGTAGCGAGTAGGGGGGAGGGTGGGAGGGTGAATTAGCTTATAACAGTCAGGGCTGGGTCAAAATAGATACAACTTTTACCTCCACCCTTTCTCCCACCTCCAACTGCCTGGTAGGAATGCAGTGGTGCGATATGGATGGATGAAAAGTGAAAGCCAAGGGTAAAGATCTTAGTCGTAGTGCCAACTGATATTCTTTAGAGGGTGCAGAGGCACAGATTTGGGGAAGAGACACAGATTAGGGGATCTCACAGTTACTGGCCCCATGGCTTTCAGACAGTATCATTAGCTGTATATGGGACGCTGGACCCGTTTTCCAGCAGGTGACGCTCCCCACCAATAGATGGAGCCTCTCCCCAGGTGTTAAAAAAAAAATTAAAAAAAAAAAAATAATAATAATAAATCGGCCGGGTACAGGGCGAAGTGGGCCATCAGGCATTCAGGGGGAAAACAGTCCTTCAGCAGCAGGAATTCGGCGCCTGGTACAGGGTAAAGAGGTTTACTCCCTGCAGCTCAACATCCTGTGCAGACAATCTTCTGAAGACAGCATTCATCTCCGTTTTATTTCTACCACAACCTGCTCAGTGGCAGGTCTATTTCTGTTTTTTTTTCCAATGCCCTGCTCAGTCAATCCCCTGGAATCCAGGGTAATCAATGCTGGCAGGGGTCTCTACATTGTTTATCTGATTACAGTCTGTATATGGG